CGGTAAGCTTCAGGTAAGGGTGCTCTCATTTTAAATAAAATGCGGACATCTCCTTTTCTCTCATTTCTCGATCAAATTTCAATGATCCGAGCCGCTCAATGTGTTTAGAACGTGATTTTAAAGGTACTCTCTAGATATCAGCAAAAAAAATGAATCAGAAATGGCTTGATTTGAGCAATTTTTATTTGAACCATTCGATAAAATACAAACAAAAACTACTCGGATCAAGCCCTTTCCGGTCTTTCTTTTTTTGCTGATTTCTCATGAGTACCCTTAAAATCACGTTCTAAACATACTGAGCTGCTCGGATCATTGAAGATTCGTGTACTTTTATTTTCTCCCTTATTTTTGTTTTGCTTTTGGGAAGGTCTGAATATGAAATTTATGTTGCAAAATCTCTCTATTTTATTTTCTCGGCGAAAATCAGTATTGTTCATTGTAGACTCGTAGTAGGTGACGTTTGACCCCAAGTCGAGTGCATGGGAGTAAGCATATCAAAAAAAAAAAATTACACAAAAGTACATGGTGTCTATCACTGGGCTACCACTCCACTTGCTACATCTCTCTTCCATTGAGAGCATTTCCCTCTTTCCCTGCAAATGATGATTTGCATCTATTTGGTCTTTCCTTTGCGCTCGATATGTGTCCCATACTTTCCGATCAGTGGCTCCCAAAACCTTTTTAAGATAACCATTTGAAATATATGAACCAAAACAAGCCTCAAATCCAAATGAATTGAGGTTCCCTACAAGAATTCATCTTATCCATTGAGATCCGTCTAGAGTCTTGTGTTTCGTGATAACCAACAAAAGAAAATGATTAACGACAATTCCAAGGGTGGTGTTCTAGTGTACCAAAACTTCATTGTTATTATCGATAACAAGTCTGTATAAATCGCTGAAATCTATATGGCAATTCAACGATTTTTCACTTACCCGCTCTAAGTGTACTGTTGTTTTGTCTTCCTCCAGGAACCCTCGACTTGACGACTCAGTTTCGTTATCTCCCTTATTTCCCCTTTTTTGCAAAGATCAAATCGTTAATTCATGTGTTCTTTTTGCCTTGAATGTATGTGCTTAATTAGTTATGTTGCTAACGGGCTTTCTCTCTGTCCTATTCAGGGCCTCCTAGCGATGAATGGATGTTGAAGCCGCTAGCGGATCTTGATAGCGTGGAGCCTGAAACAGATCACTCGAGTCAGGAAGGTGAGGAGAGTGTTAACAAGAAAAAGGTACTCTATCGCGGATTGTGCCTCTCTTTGGAAAGATTTGGTGACCGTCATTTGATTGATTTGATTATTAAGTACTCCTTCCATCTCAATTTAAGTGTTCATGTTTCTATTTTGGAATGTCCCAAAATAAATATCCACTTTCTAAAAATAATCATCAAAACATGCCAAAATTTCAATTTTATCACTAAAAAGTACATATTGATTTGACAACTTTTTTTTTTATTCGTGTCATTTTTAGATTGACAATGTCCATCCAATTTATAATATTTTTTATGATTTTAAAAACTTTGTATAATAAAACTAATTGAGATCTACTGTATCAAACAAGATCCATATTACATATTTTTTGATATCCATATTAAAAGATATAAGCGATTTCTATACATATAATTAACTTCACAGTTTTTAAGGTTAATTTTGGAAATTTAGAGTAAAAATTTTAACTTTTTAAAATGCACGATTTTCTGTAGAGGACACTTAAATTGGGATGGAGGGAGTAGTAGTTTTAAAAGATAGAGCCATCTGGGTAGACTAAGGCTCTGTTTGAAACTTGGGGAAGGAAAGAAAAAAGGAAGGAAAAATAATAAAGAAAAAGTTAGAAAGAAATACGAGAGAAAATAGAACCTTAAAAACAAAAAAACAACTTTCCCTTTCTCTTTTTTTTCGATACCAAACAATGAAATATTAAAACAAATGCTATACTTGTACATTCCTTTCTATTCATTTCTCCAAGTTCCAAACACACCCTAATTGTTTCAGTTAGTTGATAACATTGGAATATCAAAACAAATGCTATGCTTGTACATTCCTTTCTCCAAGTTCCAAACACACCCTAATTCTTGCAGTTAGTTGATATAATAATAATAATAATAATATTTATGTCTCTTCCATTCATACGGGAAAAAAGATACAAAAAATTCGAAACAAACTCTATACTTGTACATTTAAGAAGGATATAGAAGATTGTAACATAGATTTAACATTTTTCACGAAATAAAAATATGCTACCACCCAGACTTCAAAACTTTAATATATACTTCCACTTCTCACTCTAAGGGCATCTGCATTTGCCTCCCTGCCCCTCGTTAAACGGTGTAAATAAAGAGTAAAACTGAAAAATTCACCTGCATCAGCCTCACTTCAACCCTCGCCACTTTGCAATTGGTTAACATTTGCTACAGTGGCTCGTTTGTTACCACGAGCCACTATTCATCACGTTACAATTATTTTTACTATTTTATCTGTACCCAGTATTTTGCAATTCTATTATGCTATTTTGATAAATGGATGTTAATAATTAAATATATGCTCTCCATTTGATTTTATGATTCTCTTAGGGCTCTCATTGAAAGTCCCAGAGTCAAAAATTAATTATGACCCTTTAGGATAAAATGTTTAGAAAAAAAAGTTTTTCGCACCAGTTCAAACAGATTGAAAATTGAAGCACTTAATTTTTTAATCTATCTAAAAAATATATACTCCAATTTTTAATCCGTTTGAACCGGTGCGAAGAACTTATTTTTCTGATCATTTTATCCTAAATGGACATAATTAATATTTGTTTCTAGGGCTCTCATAATCAAGTTTCTGCTCTACATGGTTCCAAATAAAGATCAAATACTTAATTATGAGAGCACTAGAGACAAAATTTAATTATGACCCTTTAGAATAATATGATCAGAAAAATAAATTTCCGCACTATTTGAAATGGATTAAAAATTGAAGCACTTAATTTTTTAAAAATTGCTTGTGAACAGTTGTTCGTCATTAAATAACGATTAAAAAATAAAAATAATATTTAAATTGACAAGTATAAGTATAAAGAAAGAGTAGTTTAATAAAATAAAATTAGAATAGAGAGTCTAATGAAGTGTACTCTTAAAAAAGTAAGTAGTTAAAATAGAAAAGTGACTTTTTAGATGTAATTTGATCTAAAATCTGCTGAGTCTGATGCGGATGCTCTAATCACCCTTCGTCTCTCTATCCAGATGTAGAATTCGGTTTTCCTTATCAGCAACATCAATTCCATACATTCAAAAAACAACTCTTAAAAATAGGATTACAGGGGAAAATATGTCATTATAGTTCAATTACAGGGAAAATACCTATTACGTTCCGTTGCCTATATCGCTCCCAATCATTCTACAACCGCAACAATTTTTTTCAAATATTTACATAAACCCATTCACATGGGTTCAGTTCACGTCCAGTATGAACTATGGTCCAATCCGGTCTAGTTAGGCATTTGTGGGCTCTTTTCGGGCCCACAACAATTAACGAAACCGTTCATCTTTTAGAACTCGTCGAGAACATTAGCCATGTATAAAAATCACGTTGATCGGATATCATTTGATATAATTTTTAAATGCATTAAGCATAAGATAAATGTGTTGCAATCTAGTGTTGTGCAACTTTTTGTTTCAAGTTTAATTCATTTCAAAATTATATCAAATGTTATCCGATCAACTTGATTTTTTACATGGCCGATGTTTTCTATGAGCTCTAAAAGATGAACGGTTCCTATCATTGTTGTGGACCCTAACGCCGAACTGGACCAGACTAGACCATAGTCCGAACGTGGACCATAGTCCATACTAGACGTGAACTGAACCCCACTCACATTCATATTGGGACCCACACACATTACACCTTCAGTGTATGTAGACCCCCCCACCAAAAAAGTGACTGTGTGTGTGAAGTATTTGTGTATATGTTCGTAGTTATAAATTAAGGGAAAATGATTTTGTTACTCCTTTTTTTTTTGTTAACGACACTCCTCCAAAAATACACTTACAAAGAAGTAGCGTAACAAAAAAAGAAGTGGCAAAATCAGCTGCCTAAATTAATTGTGTCGCTCCTAGCCTTTCTCTTTCCTTTCTTTTCTAGCCTACCTCTTAGGTTCTCTGCTGTCACCTAGGCCCGAGAAATGCCTCCAATCATGCTTTCCTACCTGCCCCCAAGTCGTACACGGATCTTTCTGATCTCCTTTACTTTTTGACCGGCTAGAAAATACATATATTATATATATAAATATAAAAAAATAATACAATAAAAAGCTACCGATCCGAAAATACAAAAAATAATTTTTGGCATTGACCGATTCCGACGCATGCATCTGCCGGTAAAGCATATATTTTTCCTCCTTTACTTCTATTCATAAAATTTTTGGCTTTGATGGAGTTTTATTCACCCTCCACTTCCGACTCATTCATCTGCCGGTAAAGCATATATTTTTCCTCCTTTACTTAAATTCATAAAAATTTTGGCTTCAACCAATTCCGACGAGTTAAGTTTTGTTCACCCTCCACGAGGGTGAACATTATCCTCCTCCTCATTATTTGAAATGATGTGAATCTCACCATAAAAAGACGTCATGCTTACTAAAAAATGTACTACATAAGTGAAACCTACGTCATTTCAACAAATAAGAAAAAAGATAATGTTTATCATCATCTTTTAAAAAGGGTGAACAAAATAGCACACGATTCCGACTCATGCATCTGCCGGTAAAGCATAAAGCATAAATTCTTCCTGTCCTTTTCTTTTACCCAAGATTTAACAAGCCGAGGCAACTAAAGTTCAATGGAAAAATGACGGCTCAGGACGTGTTTTGTTAATTAATACCCGCAAAGGACAAACTAAGAACATTTGTTAATATTGAAAATATCTTTGACAGGTATTAATTATCATAACACGTCCTTGACCGTCATTTTCCCAAGTTCAATTGCACACACAAACAAAGGCTCCATCTAAGCGCTGCAAAGTGAAAAGGATCCAAGTGGATTTGAACCACTATCCTCCCAACGGCCTGACAGCCAATTTGGGCGCTCTTACCATTTTGAGCTTATGGATCCACCGACAAGTTTGGGAAATTAGAATTTCAGACAAACATTTCAATGGTTGACCACGACATAACATTTTTTATCTTTTAAAATTACTATTATTATTATTGTTCACTTAAAAAAAATTATAACCAGTTGGAATGTGATGCGGTTACAGAATCTTTAACTCGGCCAATGTCTCCTCGTAGATTTGCACATCAATAGCAAGCCTAAATATACCAAAGTCTTTCAAAAATATATATTGTATTTACCAAAAATGAGATAAATATGATTCCACTTGGCAACTTTGCACTTTTAGGTAACTTTGCACTATGTTCTTTCGGGTCTTTCTTGCTAACTCAATTTACAAAAGATAAAAAAATTGAGATTGGTATCCAAAAAGTTTTCAACGTGTACCATTTGAGCATCTCCAACTAGCCATTTTGTGAGCCAAAACCATATTTTGAACTTCAAGACCAAACTTCTTGGTGGACACGGATTTTAGAGCCCAAATATAATTTGGCCGTGAAAATAGCAGCATGGCCCGTTTCTTTCGAAGTTTCGAAGGTGTGCATGTTTAATCATACATAGCAATCAAAATGGTCGATCAATTACCCCCAAGGTCTAAAGGCTTCCAGGGAGCAATGCAATGGACACTATACGTGGGTGTGAACGGTTGCAAGTGTTATCAGCCAAATACCTTAGGACATCTTAACCCTTGAATAGCATTACCTCAGATCTTTTATCTGTCCTAGGGGCCAATAAGGCCGTTTCAAGCACCATTGGAAGCAAAATTTACCACAGATCATAAAAGAAGCCCAAAACTATTACTGGATCAAATGATGTAATACACAAGATTTTTTCCGAGGGGTCTCTAGTAAAAATTTACAGGCATTTTATGCATCACTGTTATTGATCCTAATAAAAAATTTAATACTTTCTGGGAAAACAATGGAACCACTTAATGGACTTTTTTGGTACCATAAATATGGTATTTAATGGGCTCCCACATCGGGAGATTTGTTTAAAGGGTCCACTATGCCTCTCCCTAGTCAACAATAGCCTAGGTGAGTTAATGTAGAATTACCCTCTTGCCCTCCTTCAAAGCAACCAAGTCTCGCCCACCCGCTGTGGTTTGGGTGCTTGACCTCTAGTGCAGACCCCTTGGGCCCTCTGTCGTGGTGCCACTCCTCTTGGGCCTGCGTCAGCTGAGTTGGCTCCCACATCAGGAGCTTGGGTATTGTGTGTGCATGTCTAAAGGGTTTATTATGCCTCTCCCTAATCAGCAATTGCCTAAGCGAGTTGGTATGTGAAATTACTCTCTTGCCCTCCCTCCTAAAAAGCAACCAAGCCTTGCCCACCCGTTGTGGTTTGGGTGCTTGACTTGACTTCTGGTGCAGTTCTCTTGGGCCCCCTCTATCGTGCCACTCTTTAGTGTCAAGACTCTTGGGCCTCAAGAGCTGGACTGGCTCCCACATCAGGAGTATAGGTATTATCTTTGTGTTTAAAGGATCCATTATACCTCTCCCTAATCAACAATTGCTTAGGTGAGTTGGTATATAAAATTATCCTCTTGCCCTTCTTTCTAAGTCCACCATCAAGGAAACAAAGCAAAAATTATTCACTCAAATCTCTAATAAAACTCATTTGACTTCGATAAATCTGAGCAAATTATTGACTCAAATCTTTAATATTAAAGTCTTATTCAAATTAATAATCTACACGACAGGAAAAACATATTTTCGGGAATAGGTTAAGGTCCATTTTGGGTTGCTAAAGTGCATTATACCAATACACAAATCATATATGATCTTGTTTCAGCGGTAATTTTATCATCTAGAATTCCTCAAGAAAAATTGCATAGGGCACCATTTTGTAATCTCAACTAGGGTCCCGAAAATTTAAGGGCCAGCCATGGCCAATCAAGAAGTGGAAAACTGTCCAATTACTTTATGGATGTCAGTCATAAAAAATAACAATAAAAAATAACAAACTACATAACTTCCTCTCTTTTATGGGTGAAGAGGGCGAAAAAACTAGATAACTTCATGGCTGCAAATAGAAACATACACAGATCCTAAAAAGAAAAAAGAAACATAAATAAAAATAAAAAGAGAGTAAATGACAAAGTAATCTGGCACTCGAACCCTCAAGTTCAGATTTCGAGCTTCTACGCCCCAATATATATACAGCAAAAAGACGATAACATGACCGAATAGGTCACAACCACCAATTTATGTTTACTGAAATTTTAGTACCTGGCAACCAGGCGACAATACATGCCCATAATATTGTCTCTATCTCTAAACTCCAATGCAACTCTAGCCACAAACGCATAATGCTTGCAACTTTGTAAATAACAATATGCCAACTGCAACTATCCCAAAGTGACCAGCACGCACTACTGCCAACGTTGCATTCGGGGGCACAGTAGCTTGCTCCATCACACTAGGACTATATATTCCAGTTGTTAATACTCTCATGAATCTACTATGAAATTTCCATGTGGTGAGTTACAAAAGAAATGGCAGTGAAACTAAAGCATCCGACACGTCAACAAATAAAAAAAAACTTCAGAACAGAACTAAAAAAACAGGACGAAAGCAATACATTTAGAGACTTTCTAGTCTAACATAACTAGCTAGACGAGGAAAGAACCAAAATCAGAAAGAATCAGATATCACCAGGAATTGAGAGGGAAATAGAATACAGCAACAATCCTTCAAGCCTTCACCATCTGCATGTATATACAGCTACCATAGAAGAATCAGGATCTCCAACAAGATGCAGGGCTGAATCAGAGTCCATGAACTCACCAGGGTGACAGCAAAACAAAGCCAATGTAGCCTCCACTAAAAATCTTGAGATTCCCCTATAACAGATTACAAAAGAAAACCTTGTGATTCCAATAAAAAACTACCCATGAGATACAATACCAACTACGCCAAACAAATCTACCTAATGGATAGCTTTAGATACTACAGGAACAATTACTTAAGTTAATTAAACCTATAAAATCGATCACAGACAATTGGAGAACTCAAGTTCCACGCGAGCAGCTAATGCAACTTCGATGTCCAGAATGTTAAAAAAAACACCCCGCGGATAGATGCTCATATATTCAATTACTTGGTTCACCTAGTTCTTGTTATTCAGTAATTCAAAGTTCATTAGACATCATCTTCCTCAACCAAGAATTGGAGCGACAAGTCCAGATAACACAATAAAGTTGTGTTGCAAAATGAATTCAAAGCCATTTGTTCAATTTACCTCTTGGAGTGGATAATGATGGGCTAATTCCACATTAGCTTGGTCATTGCCAAGATTATCCTCGCATACGCCATAATTGCCTCGAAAAGATGTGAAGCGAACCATACAACAGCGAGATGTTGATTCCCCATGAAGAACTGATAATGGGCTAGATTAGGGGAGTAATACGTGAGACACAAGACTGGAGAACAAAGCAAAATCCAGTGCATCTCCATCAAAACAAACAAAATTTTTTATCAGGTACGCAAGCGCACCTTACATGGCTAAGGTCAGCTGACAATCATAGAACATCCTATGCCTTTGATCTTGACGGGCTTCGATCCTGGATTTGCACCTTTGATTCATTTTTTCACGCCCTTCTATCCGACCAAATCTCCAAGCACAGTATCCAATATGCCAATCGTCGCCATGTCAGCCAACAGCACACCACTCAGATAATGCGCTGAATCAAAGCCACGGACCTAAACATGAGATTAGAAAGGGTAATCGAGACGCCACAGCACCTTCGGTTTCACCGCCCATAGAAGATTACAAGAAATACACTTCAAACCAAATTTACAACCACCAATGAGGGCCAAGACCTGCAACCAGTACTACTAGGCAAATCCCATGCCCCCAAGGCAGGTCACATCGTTTGAACAGCTGAAATACATGTGACTATATTTGCTTAATTAACAATTGAAGCAATTCAATCTTATAATTCATTAATCAACACCACCAAACTATTTCTGATTTGCAAAATATTTAACTTCTGCCAAATTTTGAGAACACAGGAAGAACAAGCAATTTGAAAATAAGTACTATAGAATGATGTGACTTCCAGCCAGCGTAATGAAATAAATTTTTCAGAAATTATTCAGGAAATGCATAATGGCTAAACAAATTCGAAGGCATTGTTTTTTGTACCTCTTGGAGTGAGTAGTCATGGTGCTAATGCCATCCTTGTGTTTGCTTGCTCAATACATAGATTGGCATCACATTTGCCTCAAAATGAATCAAAATGAACCATTTAAGGGGCAAAGGAAGATGCCAAACTATGAAACCATAACCAAAGGTAGAATATAGGAGAAATAAATGACAGGAACAATGAAAGAGACACGAGACACAGGACACAGAAGGGAGAGCCGGGCAAAACCCCATGCCATCTCCCTCAAACAACAAAGGAACATTCTATTAGTTATTTTTTGACCTGCCATGCAAGCGCACCTGACATGGCAAAGGTCATTTTTTTGACAATAGCATAGAGACAGCTCAGTACCAAGAGTAATAGTAGTTCGTGACCACCAACAGCACCAAGATTACAGCAATCCGTTGAGCAATGTAGTCTCCGTTGAGCAAAAGCACACCACTCAATAACACCAACTGAAGCATATAGAGATCTCTACTCAGACTGACTCCGGGTACTACATCAAAGACCGCAAATCCACAGCTACAACTGAATAACAAGACAGATAGCTCCACATAAACCTTGAGCTTCACCTCCTATACCAGGTTATACCAGGTTACAAGAGAGACAATTTGAATCCAGTATCCAAGTCCCCATGAGGAAGAAAAGCCCTGCGCTCACATCCACACCAAAGCCGATGCTCCAAAGGCTTCCACAACTCAAAACGGTTACAAATATACAACCATATCTTATACATGATCTAGTGGACAATAACTGAAGTAACTAACTCTTACATATCTGAACCAATAAAAGCACTATACAACATAGAGATCAGATTTCACAGGAACAAATAAAAGATACCTCCAATTGAAAGTCG